TTGCATCTTTAAATTATTTTTATTATTTTTATTATTTTATTTATTATTTTTTATGTTTTTTTTTAAGAAATATTTTACACGTGTTTACCCGACGTACCCTCAGTACTACTATTGATTGATTACATTTATGATTTCCCCAATAATATCTTGTCCTCAGCCCTGAGAGAAATGTTAATGTTCTGCAGTGAAAACTTTGTCTCATGAGACTTTGTCTTTTCTTCTCCTCAGATCAGAAACTGGTTCCAGAACAGGCGGATGAAGCTGAAGAGGACGGTGCAGGACGCCCTGGCTCACGCCTGCCAAGCAAACGTGGCCTCTCAGTTCATGCATTACCCCGAGCTGCAAGGCTACAGGCCGGGGCCCTACCCCAGGTACCACTCAGCAGCTGCAGCAGCAGCAGCACAGGACGGCCCGGCTGCTGCCTCCTACATCCACCCACACAGCCTGCAGTACAGCTCCCCTCTGCCCAGCGTCCCCTCACTGCCCCTGGACTCCTTCTACCAGTACAGCAGCCTCCCAGGAGTCATGCTGCCCTCCACCTCCTCTCCACTCATGGCCTCCTACCCAACGTACCCTCAGTACTACTGATCCTGGACATGTGTATACCCAGCGTACCCTCAGTACTACTGATCCTGGACATGTGTTTACCCGACGTACCCTCAGTACTACTGATCCTGGACACGTGTTTACCCGACGTACCCTCAGTACTACTGATCCTGGACATGTGTTTACCCGACGTACCCTCAGTACTACTGATCCTGGACATGTGTATACCCGACGTACCCTCAGTACTACTGATCCTGGACACGTGTTTACCCGACGTACCCTCAGTACTACTGATCCTGGACATGTGTATACCCGACGTACCCTCAGTACTACTGATCCTGGACACGTGTATACCCGACGTACCCTCAGTACTACTGATCCTGGACATGTGTTTACCCGACGTACCCTCAGTACTACTGATCCTGGACATGTGTTTACCCGACGTACCCTCAGTACTACTGATCCTGGACATGTGTTTACCCGACGTACCCTCAGTACTACTGATCCTGGACATGTGTTTACCCGACGTACCCTCAGTACTACTGATCCTGGACATGTGTTTACCCGACGTACCCTCAGTACTACTGATCCTGGACATGTGTTTACCCGACGTACCCTCAGTACTACTGATCCTGGACATGTGTTTACCCGACGTACCCTCAGTACTACTGATCCTGGACATGTGTTTACCCGACGTACCCTCAGTACTACTGATCCTGGACATGTGTTTACCCGACGTACCCTCAGTACTACTGATCCTGGACATGTGTTTACCCGACGTACCCTCAGTACTACTGATCCTGGACATGTGTATACCCGACGTACCCTCAGTACTACTGATCCTGGACATGTGTTTACCCGACGTACCCTCAGTACTACTGATCCTGGACATGTGTTTACCCGACGTACCCTCAGTACTACTGATCCTGGACATGTGTATACCCGACATACCCTCAGTACTACTGATCCTGGACATGTGTTTACCCGACGTACCCTCAGTACTACTGATCCTGGACATGTGTATACCCGACGTACCCTCAGTACTACTGATCCTGGACATGTGTTTACCCGACGTACCCTCAGTACTACTGATCCTGGACATGTGTATACCCGACGTACCCTCAGTACTACTGATCCTGGACATGTGTTTACCCGACGTACCCTCAGTACTACTGATCCTGGACATGTGTATACCCGACGTACCCTCAGTACTACTGATCCTGGACATGTGTTTACCCGACGTACCCTCAGTACTACTGATCCTGGACATGTGTTTACCCGACGTACCCTCAGTACTACTGATCCTGGACATGTGTATACCCGACGTACCCTCAGTACTACTGATCCTGGACATGTGTATACCCGACGTACCCTCAGTACTACTGATCCTGGACATGTGTTTACCCGACGTACCCTCAGTACTACTGATCCTGGACATGTGTATACCCGACGTACCCTCAGTACTACTGATCCTGGACATGTGTTTACCCGACGTACCCTCAGTACTACTGATCCTGGACATGTGTATACCCGACGTACCCTCAGTACTACTGATCCTGGACATGTGTTTACCCGACGTACCCTCAGTACTACTGATCCTGGACATGTGTATACCCGACGTACCCTCAGTACTACTGATCCTGGACATGTGTTTACCCGACGTACCCTCAGTACTACTGATCCTGGACATGTGTATACCCGACGTACCCTCAGTACTACTGATCCTGGACATGTGTATACCCGACGTACCCTCAGTACTACTGATCCTGGACATGTGTTTACCCGACGTACCCTCAGTACTACTGATCCTGGACATGTGTATACCCGACGTACCCTCAGTACTACTGATCCTGGACATGTGTATACCCGACGTACCCTCAGTACTACTGATCCTGGACATGTGTTTACCCGACGTACCCTCAGTACTACTGATCCTGGACATGTGTATACCCGACGTACCCTCAGTACTACTGATCCTGGACATGTGTATACCCGACGTACCCTCAGTACTACTGATCCTGGACATGTGTTTACCCGACGTACCCTCAGTACTACTGATCCTGGACATGTGTATACCCGACATACCCTCAGTACTACTGATCCTGGACATGTGTTTACCCGACGTACCCTCAGTACTACTGATCCTGGACATGTGTATACCCGACGTACCCTCAGTACTACTGATCCTGGACATGTGTTTACCCGACGTACCCTCAGTACTACTGATCCTGGACATGTGTTTACCCGACGTACCCTCAGTACTACTGATCCTGGACATGTGTTTACCCGACGTACCCTCAGTACTACTGATCCTGGACATGTGTTTACCCGACGTACCCTCAGTACTACTGATCCTGGACATGTGTTTACCCGACGTACCCTCAGTACTACTGATCCTGGACATGTGTTTACCCGACGTACCCTCAGTACTACTGATCCTGGACATGTGTATACCCGACGTACCCTCAGTACTACTGATCCTGGACATGTGTTTACCCGACGTACCCTCAGTACTACTGATCCTGGACATGTGTTTACCCGACGTACCCTCAGTACTACTGATCCTGGACATGTGTATACCCGACGTACCCTCAGTACTACTGATCCTGGACATGTGTTTACCCGACGTACCCTCAGTACTACTGATCCTGGACATGTGTTTACCCGACGTACCCTCAGTACTACTGATCCTGGACATGTGTATACCCGACGTACCCTCAGTACTACTGATCCTGGACATGTGTTTACCCGACGTACCCTCAGTACTACTGATCCTGGACATGTGTATACCCGACGTACCCTCAGTACTACTGATCCTGGACATGTGTTTACCCGACGTACCCTCAGTACTACTGATCCTGGACATGTGTTTACCCGACGTACCCTCAGTACTACTGATCCTGGACATGTGTATACCCGACGTACCCTCAGTACTACTGATCCTGGACATGTGTTTACCCGACGTACCCTCAGTACTACTGATCCTGGACATGTGTATACCCGACGTACCCTCAGTACTACTGATCCTGGACATGTGTTTACCCGACGTACCCTCAGTACTACTGATCCTGGACATGTGTATACCCGACGTACCCTCAGTACTACTGATCCTGGACATGTGTTTACCCGACGTACCCTCAGTACTACTGATCCTGGACATGTGTATACCCGACGTACCCTCAGTACTACTGATCCTGGACATGTGTTTACCCGACGTACCCTCAGTACTACTGATCCTGGACATGTGTATACCCGACGTACCCTCAGTACTACTGATCCTGGACATGTGTTTACCCGACGTACCCTCAGTACTACTGATCCTGGACATGTGTATACCCGACGTACCCTCAGTACTACTGATCCTGGACATGTGTTTACCCGACGTACCCTCAGTACTACTGATCCTGGACATGTGTATACCCGACGTACCCTCAGTACTACTGATCCTGGACATGTGTTTACCCGACGTACCCTCAGTACTACTGATCCTGGACATGTGTATACCCGACGTACCCTCAGTACTACTGATCCTGGACATGTGTTTACCCGACGTACCCTCAGTACTACTGATCCTGGACATGTGTATACCCGACGTACCCTCAGTACTACTGATCCTGGACATGTGTATACCCGACGTACCCTCAGTACTACTGATCCTGGACATGTGTATACCCGACGTACCCTCAGTACTACTGATCCTGGACATGTGTATACCCAACGTACCCTCAGTACTACTGATCCTGGACACGTGTATACCCGACGTACCCTCAGTACTACTGATCCTGGACATGTGTTTACCCGACGTACCCTCAGTACTACTGATCCTGGACATGTGTATACCCGACGTACCCTCAGTACTACTGATCCTGGACATGTGTTTACCCGACGTACCCTCAGTACTACTGATCCTGGACATGTGTTTACCCGACGTACCCTCAGTACTACTGATCCTGGACATGTGTTTACCCGACGTACCCTCAGTACTACTGATCCTGGACACGTGTATACCCGACGTACCCTCAGTACTACTGATCCTGGACATGTGTTTACCCGACGTACCCTCAGTACTACTGATCCTGGACATGTGTATACCCGACGTACCCTCAGTACTACTGATCCTGGACATGTGTTTACCCGACGTACCCTCAGTACTACTGATCCTGGACATGTGTATACCCGACATACCCTCAGTACTACTGATCCTGGACATGTGTTTACCCGACGTACCCTCAGTACTACTGATCCTGGACATGTGTATACCCAACGTACCCTCAGTACTACTGATCCTGGACATGTGTTTACCCGACGTACCCTCAGTACTACTGATCCTGGACATGTGTTTACCCGACGTACCCTCAGTACTACTGATCCTGGACATGTGTTTACCCGACGTACCCTCAGTACTACTGATCCTGGACATGTGTTTACCCGACGTACCCTCAGTACTACTGATCCTGGACATGTGTATACCCGACGTACCCTCAGTACTACTGATCCTGGACATGTGTTTACCCGACGTACCCTCAGTACTACTGATCCTGGACATGTGTTTACCCGACGTACCCTCAGTACTACTGATCCTGGACATGTGTATACCCGACGTACCCTCAGTACTACTGATCCTGGACATGTGTTTACCCGACGTACCCTCAGTACTACTGATCCTGGACATGTGTATACCCGACGTACCCTCAGTACTACTGATCCTGGACATGTGTTTACCCGACGTACCCTCAGTACTACTGATCCTGGACATGTGTATACCCGACGTACCCTCAGTACTACTGATCCTGGACATGTGTTTACCCGACGTACCCTCAGTACTACTGATCCTGGACATGTGTATACCCGACGTACCCTCAGTACTACTGATCCTGGACATGTGTTTACCCGACGTACCCTCAGTACTACTGATCCTGGACATGTGTATACCCGACGTACCCTCAGTACTACTGATCCTGGACATGTGTATACCCGACGTACCCTCAGTACTACTGATCCTGGACATGTGTTTACCCGACGTACCCTCAGTACTACTGATCCTGGACATGTGTATACCCGACGTACCCTCAGTACTACTGATCCTGGACATGTGTTTACCCGACGTACCCTCAGTA